ATTAACCTTGCGTAAAACTGTTCAAATAATATATGGAGGTCAGGAATTTTTAAGTTGTTCGTGTAAAAGTGCTTGTCAAACTAAAAGATGTGTTTGTTTTAAAGGTAGAATAAAATGTAACAGTCGTTGTCACAATTCAATTTCCTGCTGTAATAAATAAAAATGTTCGCAATACGGTTAATAAATATAAATATATTATAATGATATAAATAAACTTTATTACTATAAATAATTATTTAAGTTGAATTTATAAGGGTAAAATAAGTTGTTAAACGTTGTATTTCAGTACACAAAGTGGTCATCTTTTCATAAAAAGATCGACTTCACAAAGTGGATACGACATATATATTATATATATATACATAGTTTGATGACATTATTCCGAGTCTAATATCCTTTCATATTAYACAACAATTGGAAAATTTGAATATTTTCACAGCTTTTTAAACACATTGTTTTTGCAATATTTCAAATGAAAAATTTTGAAAATGTCAAATAATTAAGATAATACAATACTTTCAAATCCCGAATATTTCCAAATTATATTATAAATCATAATAAATTCTTTAATCGGCTTAGATACACACATCCCTAGACTTGCATTTGACTTAGTTACGTACTTGAAATCCAACCTAAGTTGACTTTAAGAATAGACTTGAACAAATCTTAAGACGTTGTCTTCGTATGATTTATCGTACAATGCGTATGACATTTAAACCAATTCAGGAAGTCACCCTCGTCATAAAATATCAATTTCCAACATAAGAGTCAAGCCGGAAATAATATATAATATAAAACTGACTTCCAAAAACTCGTAGAATACATTAATTTTAAAGCACCTACTTACAAATACATAACACATGTCATCCAATATTTTTTACCGATAATTTAGGCAAAAATATTTTCATAAGATTATACAGCCAATTAAACCACATGTAAATGTCCTGAAATAACATCTCTGATTTTGGTTTATATTATGACTGGGWTAAAAAATTWAAAAAAAATTTTWACTATTTATATTCAATTTTAACATTCATTTATTATCTTATACAGAGTCCCGCGAGGATTTATTACTCATTGCGATATTTCCTGAAATAATGGAGACATCGAAATTCTGGTTTTGTAATAAGACTCGCGGGGATAAAAACTACAATTATTTCATATTTTAATTCATTT